GTAATGAAGTCTTTCGAGAAGGTCAAGGTATTGTTCTGTAAAGCTAGCTTCAGCTTAGAAACAGTATAGAACGAATTATGCATCTCTCTTTATCAGAGGGATTTGAGCCTTGAAAGGCTATATTTTGCCCCAGAAAGAGAACAAAACAGCCTAAAAATTTTCGCATGAGCTGAATAGAATTGCCGATTGTATATGTGAAGTTCGCAACTTATCTTGATGCTTCATTAAGGTAAGCAGTAGCGGCCTTTTTTTTCAAAGATCTAAAAAGTGCGGTTACACCCTTTAGAAAGCCTCGCAATCTTGCACTAGTTGAGCGTTAAACTCGCTCCAAACCCTATTACACAAGTTTTCACATTAATTTTGAAATTCTTGAAACGGCAGCTTTTTTCACAATAACACCATATACTTTAAGTTTCTACCTATGGCAATGAAGAGCGATCGATGATCCACTCTAAACTGTACTAAGATGAAGCCAGATCTACAAAGCGGTACTCAAAGCTTCTTAAAAGATTTGACACGAGAGTTATTAACAAACAAAGAGTAGGCATATAATTTTGAGACACCCTGGGTATGGTAAATTCTTTTGGAGTCTAGCTATTTATTTCTTGATGGCGTTATTCAAAGACAGGTAAAGTATACAATACCGCTCACAGAACGTGCAAAATTTCCGTGAATGTCGCAGAATTCCAGGAATTCCGCGAAGGTTCGCGAAATTTCGGGAATTTCGCGACATTCACGGAAATTTTGCACATTCTGTGAGCGGTGTTGTACGTCAAGGTGCTTTGTGCAGCCCTCAAATGGCTGATTATACATTGTATGGAATACGAGTTCATAAAGAGGCTGACAAGAATACGAACCCATGTCAATACCTTATATAATTCTGCCTATAAATACATAGATGACACTTTACACGTCTCTAACGATGCATTAAGTTCGGAAAAAGTTTGCGAAATACACCCTTCATGTTAGAGATCGACAGATTCAACTTTAGTTCAACTGATACAAACTTGAACATGGTAGTTTGCGAAAACAAGATCAAGTTTAGTATTATTACTTACAATGAAGCGCTAAGGGTGTTTACGTGTGTGTGTGTGTGTGTGTGTGTGTGTGTGTGTGTGTGTGTGTGTGTGTGTGTGTGTGTGTGTGTGTGTGTGTGTGTGTGTGTGTGTGTGTGTGTGTGTGTGTGTGTGTGTGTGTGTGTGTGTGTGTGTGTGTGTGTGTGTGTGTGTGTGTGTGTGTGTGTGTGTGTGTGTGTGTGTGTGTGTGTGTGTGTGTGTGTGTGTGTGTGTGTGTGTGTGTGTGTGTGTGTGTGTGTGTGTATGTGTGTGTGTGTGTGTGTGTCTGTTACGAGATTCGTAGAGCATGTTCCAGCCAGCGTTCTAAGCGCAAATTTCGCATAGCGCATGCTACCTTCATGAAAGTCCAACATGCAAAAGCACAGTAGTTTTGTTTAGTGGATACCTCAGAAACTGCGAGCCAAATGGATTCTGCCTGTCGGCAAAATGGGTCCGTAGCACCACTTTTTGCAAAGTCGTGGATGTATTGGGTAAGAAAATGTGAAAGCGATGGACTTTAGCCCGGAAGGTGGTCAAAAGTTTACTACATAACGAAAACGGAGCCAAAAATAGTTTCTTAATAATTGATTAATTTGCCAAGGTTCTAGCCAAGCATCTAGAAGATTTTCGCACAGGGATGTAGCCCACGGTGAATATTGCCTTTATGGCGACTATCAAGGCATGACAAATCAAAAACCTATCGAATTTGCGTTTGTGTTTCTGCGAAAAGTCTCTTCAAGCGAAATCACCGGTTTCACATGAAAGAGCTTTCGGTGGTAGTCGGCATAACGCGGTGAGTTCCATTGCCGCGATTTTAAGAGAATGAGTAAGGCACATAGATAGTAGAGCCAGTGCGAGCCTCTGCGAAGCAGAGGTGACTCACTGATATATAGTAAGTAGTGGCTTATAGTAGTGGCTGGCTTTCAGACTCTTTTGTGAGTAAATAAGGCTAAAATTTGCCCCCCCCCCTCAAAAATAAGGCACGGTGCACAAGATAGGCTACTTCTTGCGACGGTTTGTTAGGCCCTTCAATCGATTTATTGATTTGTTTACCCTAATTTCACGTGTAAAGGTGGCACCTTTTTCGGTTTTTCAAGCGTACCGCTCACGGAAAGCGCATCTTATGCCGCACGATACTCTCAGGCAATATACAGCACTGTATATAGTTGTTTGGTCGTGAAGCCTATGGCATGTCCGTGCTGTTCGATTTTAGAAAAAAAACCCTCCGCGTCCTATACGCCTGAAATTAGGGTACTTCATCGAGGGTTCACCAACCATTGTTGGATCATTTCCTCATGGTCATGTAAGTCGCGGTAAAGTTCATTTACATTTCTTGGCGAAAAGGATCCGGTATTTCAAGTCGGCAAGGAAGACACATCACAGTTTCTTCGCAGATTTTGAGCAGGGCGGTAAGTTTCAACGCGTTTAGGATCTAGCCCAATTTTCGGGCGGGACTGGGGTCGCCATCTAGTGTATAAATAAAACTCAAACTCTGTAAAGTTGTTAGTAAGAATGTGGCTTATAGACTGGTGGCTGTTGTGAGCCGATAAGGCTGTAACTGCTCCCCTATAAGTAAGTCACATTGCAAAAAATAGCCTAGTTTTCGCGACGATTCGCTGGGCCCTTCAATCGATTCATTGATTTGTTTGCTTACGTATAAGGTAATAAACTTATCAATCATTCCTGGATCACAGTTGGATAAGCAGGGCGATAAAGATCATTTATATTTCGCGGCGAGGGGGATCGGGTGCTTCGAGTCAGGGAGATATTTCGCAGAAGCGATACGGAAAGGGATCGCGAGTCTTGACGCTTTTGCATTCTGGTACCTTCCACCGCCAAAGCCCGCTTCCTGGATAGGACCGGGGACGGCATCTAGTAACTCACATTTTCAAGAGGCTGTACCCGAAAAAGTCGGAATTTGATTTTTCAAATCCGTAATCTCTCATTTGCTTTGTAGAATTGGTGTTGAATCATAGTACCATCTTGGAAGTTGAAGATACCGAAAAATTATTGGCGTTTGATGCGAGTGTGGCTGTCGTGGGCCTGCCAAAATCCGACTGTTTAGTGAAAAATCTGTTAGAAAGTTATGGGGAGCTATGAAAAAGGGAAAGTTTGTACTGTATCCTCTAAGATTTGCTCTATCGGAACGCTATTTGGACTCCTTCGCAGCGTTGGTATGAAACTCTAGAAAAATTGCGAAACTTGATCATTTTAGAAAGCATGAGTCGCAGATTTTGGTAAGCTCATAGAGACTCATTGCATTTGCTGCAACGATTTCTTGACATTTAGAAAGAGGATGAAATGTGCATCAAAGCTACCAAGACCTCTTAAGATGTTCCACGGCGTTCCTTTGAAAAAGCGACATTACTTTTGGAACGACCTAACATCAAGGACAATTTTTATGCTTACAAGGGGATGGTCAGAAGTCGAAGCGGCCAAACCAAACAAGCTATATACCACTCGATGCAGTATACGCTAACTTCGAATCCGTCTTCCTTATCTGCTTCTCGCTTCTGTAGACGAAGCTACAAGCGGTTTTATTGTGAAAATTATACATAAAAACAGCGAAATTGAGCACTCTGCTGCACTTTTAGCTCAGCTTCTGGCTTCAAAAATTTGAAGTAAGCTAGCTGCATGTTTTGGCACAGCATTAAGGTGAGCGTGGCTCTGCACGGCTGAATTCTCAATTTCACGCGTAATTTCTTAGCAAAATAATGATCTTTAATGGCTTATTGCTTTGTCCAGAAAGGCGATAAGCAGGTAAAGAAGACACATTTAGAGTCAGCGTTTCATGCTGCATCTAATGGTATGCAGCTTGTCTAGATTGGCCACTTTGATTTCTGACCATTCCCTTGTTAGCTAAACAAATGTCTCCTTCAAAACGCACACAAGGTTGAGTGAAAAAGTTGATGTAAGAGATGCTAATACAATAAGTTGATACGAAATCATGTACGCAAGGAGAATATAAGAATGTAAAGTAGCTCTGCGCCACCTAACAAAAGAAAGAAGGTAATTTGATCAAATAGACTGATAACTTCCCTCTCCTCGGCGAAGCTTCAAAGTCCCCTACATTCTTTCTAACCTTTGTCAGCAAGAAGAAGTTTATACAAGTTTGTTGTGCCTGACTACAATGCAATCAAGGTAACTCGAGGAGTATAGGGAGATATAGATTGCGGAAGGAAACAGCTCAGACAATCGACGGGACCCCTCCGCCGGACAGTCCGAATCTGCCAGAGTCGCGCCGGACCCAGTTGACCAATGAGAGAGGGGCAAATGGGCGGTCCGTCGCGGTGACATCACTGGCAGGCAAGTGGGAGGCTTCTCCGGCCCTGCTGCAAAGGTCCGCAATTTCTCCGGCGCGACTCTGCCAGATTTGGCGGACTCGCGCCGGAGAAATTCGCCCGGCGCGAGTCCGCCAAATTTGGAAGAGCCGCGCCGGAGAAGATGGGAGGGGTCCGGAGCAGAAATGGGAGGCCTCCGGAGCAGAAAATGGGAGGTATCCGGAGCAGAAAATGGGGGGTATCCGGAGCAGAAAATGGGAGGTATCCGGAGCAGAAAATGGGAGGTATCCGGAGCAGAAATGGGAGGGCCCCGGAGCAGGCTGCGTATCGATTTGGCGCGTCGTTGCAAATCATTCATTGCTAAGGCGTGGTGTTGATTTCGCAACCAAGTCTTTTTGCTTCATTCTGTCGTCCGCACATCAAAATAACGTCAGAATTCTATAATAATTTGGTTTCTGCGTTCCAGCTCTTTCGGGCTTTTTCGGACTTTTTTGGGTTTTTCGGGCTTTTTGTCGGCGAAGTATGACGGGTCCCTAATGATGGTGAAAGATCTATCCACTCTGTGATTTACTGGCCCCTCGTGTTTATCATTGCTCGTTTCGTGGAATGATTCGAGTTATATACTAAGTTCTCCATATGCCATTGCTTCTCTGTAGGGTCAACCATGCCTCGAATCAAGACTGTGCATTCGAAGGTTACAAAGGCTCCACGTCGTTCTTTTGAGAAGGAGCGTCTCGACCAGGTAACGACGTTTTCACATTCTATGTTCGGCAGGACTTCCAAACCTTGTCAGAGAAAAGTGCATTTTGCGTCAGCTTCATTTTTGTGGTATAATTTGTATGCTGATCGATTTGCTATTTCATCTTTTCATTCCTTTACACTTAGTGAGTGAAAATCTTCCAACTCTGTTCGTCTTTTGCTTGAAGATTTTGATCTAGGAGCAACCTACAGATTTAGCTCGTGTTTTATTGCTGCGTACTTTGATTGAAGAGAAAAGAGCTTCATCAAAAATTTTCAGAGATTTGATAGGCACTAACATGTTTGTAAATATTGGGTTCCGCTCTAATAAATCCCTCTTTTCTGCCTTTGTAATTCTTTCAAAATCTTATATACAGTTACCTGATATTTTGTTGATTTCCTGCGCTCGAGAAAGAAATGATTACTTTTTGGGGAAACGGTCGTAAGGGAACGGCCATAGGTTCGCAGTGTTCGCGGTGTTCGCAGTGTTCGCCGTGGGATAGTATGGCATAGTATAGTAATAGTATCATAGTATCATAATAGTATAGTATCGAATAGTATCATCTGGAATAGTACATATGGCCGATCCCGACAACACCGACAACACCGACAACACCGGAACACCGCGAACATCACGGACACCGCGAACACCGTGAACACTGCGAACCGCGAACATTGCGAACCTATGGCCGTTCCCTAAGGTGCAACTTTTCAGGCTATCACTGCTCTTCTTCGCCGTCTTGTACGTATTGGAGTGCTTCCTGAGGATCGAATGAAGCTCGATTACATTCTCGGTCTTCGTGTGGAAGATTTCCTCGAGAGACGTTTGCAGACGCAGGTTTTCAAGTTGGGATTGGCAAAATCCATTCATCACGCCCGTGTCCTAATCAGACATAGCCACATTCGGTGAGCAACTTGTGGATTGTCATATCTTTCCTTTTTTTTCTTATTTTGCATGATTATTTTGCACGGGCCTCCGAAGTGGGTTGGCCCATTCGTGAAAATTCTTATCTTTAAAATGGCGCTTCTCGTCAGCTTTCGAGGGTTTCTAGAGGGACCCGTCATATTCGTCGAAAAAAAAACACCCAAAAGCTCTAAAAAAAGCCAAAAGCGCCCAGAAAGAGCCGGAATGCCCCATTCGCGGCAAGTTTTGGCGCTACGACATGCGTGTTGATTTCGCAACCAAGTCTTTTTCCTTCGTTTTTTCGTCTGCACATCAAAATAATGTCGAGTTTTACCAAACATTACAACCCGGATGAAAGAGATTAGTGTGACTTGGCTTTTGTAGTTTCTAGGAATCCGCATTTATTTTAGCTTCTGATGCAGCCGATTATTGTGTCTTTGTCGTGGTATTCTGATTCGTCCTTCTAGCTGTTTGTCTAGTTCAAACTTTTCTTCCTAGGAATTGATGCCAAGGGCTCACGAGCATGGCTGTGTATTCGATTGCTGAAAGTTTAAGCAAGTGGCATCTCGAACTTGGGTGTATGTCAAGAGGCGCGATTTTTGCCAGATGGGACTAATTAGCGCATTTTAAGTGTTTCAAAACGTTTCAAAAGACTTCTGATTTCTGAAGGGATATGTAAGAATCGTTTTCAGGGCAGTTTAAAGGCACCGTCCACCCAAAGTGGGGACGTCCACAAACGCTAGGGGTGAGAGGGAGGGGGTAAAGAACGGGGTTGAGGGTCGCGCTAAACTCCTACCCGGGGGGGGGTCCTATTCGGCTTATTTGGATGGGGTTTAGAGACAAAATGGGGTTAGGAGCTTAAAGGCAGCGTCCAGGCAAGTCTGGACTTATGGGGATTTTACATGGAAAGTACTTTTGAGGCCCTAACTAAGCCACTGCCCAAGCGGCAGCTCAGGTAGTGCTGTAATGGCTGAGATATTCCCCTCGAAACTGGACCCCGCGACCGTATTTCGCATGGATTCATGGCGCAAAGCGTGGATCCTGGCGCGAAACTGCCATGAATCCATGCGAATACGTTCGCGGGGGGTCTGTTTCGAGGGGAATATCTCCGCCATTACACTACCTGAGCTGCTGCTTCGGCAGTGCCTTAGTTAGGGCCCCAAAAGTACTTTCCATGTAAAAGCCCCATAGGTCCAGATCTGCCTGGAAGCTGCCTTTAATTAGGGCTTATTACAGTATGCCGCGGCAGACTTGCAAAGCACAAAATCGGGGGGCTCCGGCGCACAAAATCGGGGGGCTCCGGGGCAGAAAATGGGAGGTATCCGGAGCAGAAAATGGGAGGTCTCCGGAGCAGAAAATGGGAGGTATCCGGAGCACAAATGGGAGGTCTCCGCCGGAGAAATGGGAGGGCTCCGCCGGACAAATGGGAGACCCACCGCTGGGGAAACGCCGCGACCCTGCCATTTCTCCGGCAGAGGGGTCCTATCCGCTGTCTGAGAGTAGCCGTCTCGTTGGACTTTTCTCCTCCAAAGCATTACGATTTTCACTTAAGAGCTCTAGCTTCAATAAAAAGAAAGCAGCCTTGTCTTGATGTTACTTACTTGTTTTGATGATATAATGTGAAATCAGCGCAATTCAAACTCGTTGTTTTCGTCTATCACTGGAAGATCCGGTGTCCGAAAAGCAGAGTCCTGAGTAGTTCCTATTTCGCTCAACAACGTGATTATGAATATTTCATGCATTCGAGTAAGAACTAAGTGCACTGGGTGCTGCTCAAAAGCCACAATATCCCAGTATCTGAACTCACCAGTCGGGGCCAGGGCTCGGCACACGTGGCTTACGGCGCAAGTTGGATATCGTTTTGGAATAAAAAGCAAGGAGGATTTCGTTGAAGCGAAATCCCAACCATGCGCCCCCCCCCCCTCACACACGCGATCGCCTTCTGCTTTTATGTCACCCATCTTCTAGAAAAGACGCAAATTGTCATTTCTGAGTTCTCGATCTGCAAAAACCAAAAATTTTTTGTTTCAACCTGTTCGCCGGTAAAGCGTGGGAATTTAAACCTGCCTCAAAATAAACAAAAGGCTTGATTACAGCGAAGAGAAAATGGACTGGCACCAAAATTGGTGTGTAGATGGGCAATAGGGAGTTGGGACTATGTGCGAAAAATTATGAAAAAATTATGTGAATTGAAAGCGTGGCAAACTTTTTTAGCTGATAGATGGCTTTTCGGCCACCTGGACAGCCACCTGAGGTGGCTGTAAAAAAGTCGTATATTTTTCTTCCTTTACATAATTTTCTTACATTTTTAACATAGCTTTGTTCTAATAAACCCTACAACTGAGTTTTTGAAGCTCTCCATACCCCCTCTGCCTCTCCTAGTTACAGGCCTCCGAATATTATGTATGGCGGCAACAAGCCTGCTCCAAGCGCGCAAGGGAGCGCGCCGGACACAGCATGCCGCCAATTCGGACATTACGAACATCTTTAGTTTCTTTTTCGTCTGTCGATGTTGTTTTTATGTTGTGTTCCATTATTTTCCGTTATTCGTTTTGATGTATTCATGATCGCGTCATAGCTGATGTCGTACTTTTGCGCCGAAGTCTAAAGGAATTTCGTTTTTCAAAAATTGAGAAAGCCACCTCATGCAGAGCCCTGGTCGGGGCAAGCACATTGAAGAAAACTTGAATGCTCGATTAGCGAAGATAATTACGCCTTCCCGCTCAATTACTATTTCCGCCGGTTGCGACGCATGCGCACTTTCATTTCTTTTTCCAAGACGAGTATACGATACAAACAGCCTATGGGTATCATTGATTGCCGAGAAATTTCACCAAGTGCAGATAATCCACCTCCATTTTAACAAAATGCTGTTGAAAGAGATACACAGTAGCTATTCGCTTTTGTGCACATTAACACCATGATAAAATCAGCGAAAAACATGCGGGAATCTCAGAACTTTTTATCGTCTATTCCCCACAGTATAGCGGGCAGGGCTTTGCGACGTTTGCCAACGTACGCGCGTGGCAGTTTTTGATAGCTAGAGATTACAAAACCAATGCTCTAAAGTGGAGGTTCAACAAGTTTTTCAACGTGTTCAAATGTCTGCAGGGCTACGCGCGCTATACGCATGGAAAACGCCTGTACCACCCTGTCCTATCCGTACCGTAGCTGGTAACTAGGTCAAGTGCGAAGGGTGTGGACGCCACACCGAGTCGTAGTGAGGGATCAGAGTGGGAAGGGGGTCGTAATTGATGCGATAGGATGTAGCGATAACATGATTTTTGTTAACGATGTCAAGCACATTATGCAGGATAGAAATGCACTGATCATCTGCCGTAGTTTCGTATGAAAACACTAACTTAGAGACAGACAAACTGAGTATCACTTTAGTAATTACCATGTCAAATAATCCATGTGGACCAAGTTTTAGCAAATTTTTAGGTTTACAAACATTTGGCGAGGGCGGTGAAATCGATGAACGCACCGCGATTATTTCCCTTATGGCTCAATAGTTTGCCACCACTGACGACAATCCTCTTGCCAGTCTGCGCACTTGCTCATGACATTGTGATGCTTTCCAGCTTCTCATTCATAGAAGATTGGTGAACCAGCCAAATCTAATCAACGTGCATTTTCCAAAAAAACGATTTTTTACTAAAATAAGGGCCAACATTCTTGCAAGCAAAAGTTTTGCGGTTAACTGCAAATGTTTGTCAATTTGATATATTCGTATACTCTCTGCAAAGTCTCTGTTATCGTCGATACATTGCAAACATCATGCACCTTCACCACAATATCGTATCTTTCTCACTTTTATGATTCCGTAGTCTTCAATTACCAAATCATGTTGACCATCAGAAGCATGAAAGCTCTAGATAAATGATACAGTCACGCAGTCGAAGGCAACAGTCAATTTGCTTAGCAGAATTACAAAGCTACAACTTGGTAGTTTTGCGTCTTTGAGCACCCCCGTATCATGTATCACAGCGAAGGCGCTCATAAATATGTTCTACAGATGCAGTACGTGAATAATCGTGAAAACTTAAACCAGATCAAGAAATGTAGCGAACGCACCGCTTAGGGACGGTATAGTGTATGAAGCGTGACTGAGCATCCTGCTCTCAGTCTCTGCTGGCTATAACCCACCGTCGAAAGAGTTTTTGAATAACGACCACGAATCTAGCTAGGCACACCGAATTCGAATCTGTTGAAGTATAAACAGCCGCCGAGATCTACAATTTATCCTTCAATGTCTGACCGCATTAACTATTTAGAAAGATTTTTTCTAGAGTTTAAGTATTGATATTATGGGGGTCTGCATGATCGTTAGAGTTGGGCGTGCGTACGACCATTGCGCCGCGGTGTCCGTCCCACAACATAGGTGGGTGCCAGGCTTACACTATTCAACAGGTTCATCCGGTTTACGCCTCTGCTATTGGTCAGTGGATTAATTTAACCAATAATGAATGAGTGAACCGGACGAACCGGTTATACAGGATCAGTCTGGCACCTGCCACTTCAGTGACATCGGACGTGCGCGGCGCAATAGCTGTACGCACGGCCGACTCTCGCGATCATGCAGGCTCCTATATTTAGTTCCACAAGAAGCGCAAGGAAAAGTTCTATAATTAGATGGCTATCATATAATCATACTGGATGTAGATCATGATCATGATCATCGATGACCATCATCGAATAATCGATTATTCGATAAGCATCGAGTGATCGAACTCCATATAAGCATAGCACAACACAGCATAGCACACGCCATCTTTGACGTCTTCATCCTGGATTTCCAATCGCAACGCGGGAGAATGGTCGATTGTTATCGCTTACATCACTTTAAGGCGTTAGTACTTAACAAAGGAAAGAAACAATGAGAACACATCGAGAGCATTTACCTTAAAGGCGGCGTCCAGGCAAGTCTGGACACATAGGTATCTCACGTGAATAGTAATTTTGGGCCCCTAACTAAGCCACTGCCCAACCTGCAGCTCAGGTAGTGCTCTAACGGCTGAGATATTTCCCTCGAAACTGGACCCCGCGATCGTATTCGCATGGATTCATGGCGTAAAGCGTGGATCCTGGTGCGAAACTGCCATAAATCCATGCGAACACGATCGCGGGGTCCAGTTGCGAGGGAAATATCTCAGCCGTTAGAGCACTACCTGCGCTGCCGCTTGGGCAGTGCCTTAGTCACCCCAACAGTACTTTCCACGTAAAATCCCCAGGTCCAGCTCTGCCTGGACGCTGCCTTCAAGGGTTCTCTCCTCAAAAATCCAGGACGGGAAACGCCAAAGGTGGACAATGGGTGCAATGACCACATGATCATATGAAATGATCCGACTGTATACTATCTGTGTATCGTTGAGTTGTTGACAGCACTGACTGACTGTAGAGAGCCCGCGCAGCATGGATGAGATATGAGCAGGACTTGTGCACAACTTGTATGGCACGAGCGTTCGGCGGAGCGGCGCGGCGCGTGCTTCGCAACCTGCGACAGTCCCTGTCATCAACGGGAAGCATAAATATGCAATGATTATTACGCTACGGATGTCCTCATGAAATCAGTGGAAGTTATAGCAGCTCAGAAGAAACGGACTCATAAGAGCCCGCTATCGTAAAGGAAGATTTTTATGTTTTTGATGGTTGAAATCTCGCCCAGAGTTTTGGCATGCACATATCTGTCCAGAAATGAA